TAGAAATTTTGATTGTTGATTTAGTATTAATCATTTAAAAATTATAAAAAAACTATAATAGGTAAATTTTTGGGTATTTCATAATAAATATTTGATATGTCAAATTGAAAATATGAATTTGGTTATTCAAAGCTTTAAAAAAAAATTTCTCCTTAATTTCAATAAAAAGGCCTCATTTGAATATTTTACTTTAGGCATTTGACATTATAGAGCCACCATTGATACATTGTTGTGTTTTGGGAGAAATCAAGACCTCTATTATAGGTAACAAAAACAAGGATGAACAAAGTATGATAAGCAAAGAACTAAAGTTCATCCATTTCATTACTGGTTGCCAAAGGCATTTAATTACAAAACATTAACATGTGAATAACATTCTAAAACACTTGGTTACATGCATAAGACAAGTGTTAAAACGTATTAAGAACTAATTAAGCATGCATAACAACACGTAACTACATTAGCTAAGAAGAGTAATGGTTGTTAGGGACTTAATTTGAGCTTGCATAAGTATTAAACTGCTATTGCAATATAATAATTCTATTTTATAAAATTATTTTGTCTCATTTTATTATTAAAAGCTAGCTAAGTTTTAAGTTAAAATTAAGATTTGGTTATTTTTTAGTTGTTTTTCTAATTAGTTTATTTTTAATGAGTTATTTTATTTTATGCTATTTTTATGTTTACTTGCTTTAGTTTAGTTAGTAATTATTAGTTTTTATGTTTTTATAGGATGCTAAAGGAATTAGACTCAATTTGGTGAAGAAATGAGTTCAAAGAATTAAGGCCCTGTTTGTACATGCTGAAGTATTTTGATCATAACTCTTACTCATGATGTCTAAATGAAGTGATTCTTGAGCTATTGGAAAGCTGAAATAGAGCTACAACTTTCATGCAAATTATTTTATCCTATTCTATATTGAAGGTAGAGAAAATCACATTGGAAGTTAACAAAGTGCAGTAATTAGCAAGAGAAAACTTAAAGCTAAGTGTTCGTCACGGTGTTGAGGGGTTGCACTGCAACATCAAGAGGAAAATTCTGAAGGATTGGTGTGGCAAAGACAAAGCTGTAGGCTTGTTAAAGGTATATGGGCTTTACACTTACTTTAAAGCCCATATTAAGAGCCAATTAGGCCTAATTAGAAAGAATAGGTTAAGTTAGTGGTATTTAAAGAGAGTTTAAAGAGAAGTTAGCTGTAAGAAAACAATCCTAAGAGAGATTCAAGAAGTTAGAAGTTAAGGCTAAAGATTGAAGATTAAGGCTACCAACATTTGTTTTTGTTTTTTCTTAGCTTTTATTATTTTTATTACTCTTGATGGATAAACTTCATATGTTTTTATTTATTATTACAATTATGAGTAATTAATTTCTTTTATTTAGGATTACAATTGAACTTGCATGTAGTTTAAATTATTAATCACTTTCTAACTTATTTTCAATGGAATTGGATTGTTTATTCCAATTTGTTCTTAATATTTTTAATTATCTTACCAACAATTAAATTGATCTTAAAACCTGAGTATAACTTGAGAAAGGAAGTTTAGTGTAGACTAAAATTGGAATAGTATATAATTATATTTATCTGTTTGAATGAATAAATTGATTTGTGTATAAGATAGAGATATACCTATATGTCGTATGTAGCCAATATTAGAATCTAAACTTAATAAATCTATTTTAATTCCAATTTATATAAAGATATAGTGTTTTGATTAAAAAAGATATTTTTATAAGAGTATCGAGAAAGCCTTATAATGCCACTAGCTAATCCCATAGCTCATCTCAACACTCCTCATGTAAGTAATAATGATATATCCT